TCCTTGTCTCCGAGATGGCGCTGGTACGTCAATAATTGTCTATTTTATACAACAGAAAGGCAAAGGAGGATTTAATAGAAGTTTATAAGCACCTCAAGGAACATTAATCAGGCAAATATTTATATCTGGAGCAAGCGGATGCCCGCCCCTCTGGAGGTCACAGCCGTAAATTAAAGAAATTATCAGTAGAGAAAACGCAAACATGAACTCGGCGAGCTTCCCTGTTGTGCGCTGTTTTACCATGTGCTTCGCCTTACACGGGAAGTGGGTACCCAGTAAACTAGTCCCGCTCTCTTGGAATAACCTGCTTGAGAATGAAGTGACACCCCCAAGTGTGAGCTCCGTAAGTCGAAGCTTTACAAACACTGACACATGTCCAGGTTATTCAAGAGTCCGTGTAGCACATGTCCAGTATTTACCAACAGTTGTATTGAGTAATTGACCGACGTTTAACTGACTAGAAAGTCGACCGTGAGGATACAGTAAATTATGTGAAGTTCGTCAGCCAATCAAAATTTATGTTTATATCATTGTAAGGTTTATGTAGAAGCTCGGTTGATGATTTGGAATCACTTCTTCCCATCTTTACCCGTCGCCACCCAATCAAATCAATGTTTACTCCTTCGCATGGAGTTGATGGGCTCTCTGTTGATTGTTTTCTTTGCATTCTGTACATATAGGGTGTTGATGATATAGAGGGCCATGTGGTACGCTTAGAGGGAGGGTTTGAGATGGGTGGTGCGGGAGGGGCGGTGGCATGTATACATGTGGTGTGGACTGTGTGGTGGTGTAGATGTGTAAGGTGGGCGTTGATGTAAGCATGATGGGTGGGCGTTTAGTGCGGCCTGCGAGAAGGCGTAGGCGTGTTAGGTGGGCGTTGGTGTGAGCGTGTTGGATGGGCATTGACGTATGGTGACCGTGTGGGGTGGGCATGGGAGTGTGGGACAGGCATAGGTGTGTGAGTCACGGGTGGCGTGATTAAGGCAGCACCAGACGCTCAACCACTCAGAGTGGCAGTCATTGTTAAACGAACAACGCAGTGTGGCTGATAGTGGAGGTGGTGGTGGAGTGTTGCCACATGGTGTGTGTGTGTGTGTGAAAGAGAAGAGAGTAATTATATATATATATTTTTTTTTTTTTATAAAATTACTCACCAACGTATGGATAAACAGTAATGTTTTATGGTAACGTTTTCTATCCAAAATAAGTTATTGAAAATTTTTTTGCCAAGTTTTTGCAAAATGAATCTTCCTTCAGTCCGATAAGGATAAATTTGTATTTACTTTACATCTATTGGTGGTCAGATGCCAGTTTGTCTCTTAAAATGAGTTTAATTAACATTGTTTACCCGATGATAAAATATTTCCTGCGACCTTGATAACAACCGTACAGTACTCTATAATACCGGGTTACATAACGAACCAACAAAGCACCACGCAGGTGTTGGCAGACTTTTCACTATACTAAGCGGCGTCCCACAAGGCAGCGTAATATGCTCAACGCTATTTATAACCTACACATCTGACGTCCCTCAACCAGCAATGATTATGAGTATAGAAATATATATTACACGGACGACGCCACACAGTGATCCCAATAACATAATCCCCGAACACACCGACCCTACAGTACTTCAAAGGGGAAGCAGCACAGATATGTTTGAAACTCGAAACAACAAAGACACAAACTACAGACATCCGATAACTGGAGAGTACCAGACATGAAGGACCCCCATGCCCATATCTTAAATGCCTGGACTCATCAATCAGAGTACCGTCTTCATATCTGAGGGTTGGATACCACAGTCCTCCACTCTAAACATTCTCGGGTTGTTTTTTACCAACCATCTAAGGTTTTGTATCTCTCTGGGGACTCGGTTTTTATTTTCATTCACCCACCCGTCTTTACCTTCTCCTGGTCCTCCTACCCTTAACTTTGCCTTTTAATATTTGTTATTTTCTCCTCATCCCTAATTATATTACCAAAGTATACAATTTTTCTTTTTCTGTACATTTCAAGTACTTTTTCTTTTAGTTTTTGCCAATCTTAGTACAAACGCTAACTAAACCTCCCAGATAACGTTAGTAATGAATCATCTGGTGAAATAAGCTGTAGGGGGGGCTAATGTTCACGTGATCCCATTTCGTTCTAACAATTAAATTCCATGGATCATTACACTCAATACTTATACTTCTAACATGGTGTCTCAAAAAAATGTATACACACACTGCTGTACAATGTTGCTGTTATATTACAAGCATTCACACGGAAATCTGTGAGTCAGTGTGTTTACATTTTTCTGAGACACCTTGTAAATAATATAAATCATAGTGAGGAAGGTAAACCCAGAGTATAAAGCATTGGAGTCACATTTGTTTATCTACATTATTTGTATACCGGTACTGTGTATGTATATTGTGTACCTGCATGGTCTATATACACACACCAGTTAAATAAAAACTTATAAACCGACTTTACTGAATAAAACTGAACTGAACTGTAGCCGTGACGTCACCAGCACTCCCAGGCCATGTGATTGGTGTAGCGTAGACAACCCCCTCCTCCTCTCCCCCCTACCCTACCCCCTCCCTCTTACTCCAAATTAGGGCCTCATAGATCATGTTATTTTTGTCTTAGAGAGAGAGAGAGAGAGAGAGAGATTGTTGCTGTCCAAACATACAAGAACAATTCCAGGGAGGAAGGGAGGGCACATGCTCAGGGGGAAGAAGGAGGAGGTCATATGCTCAGGGGGAAGAAGGAGGAGGTCATATGCTCAGGGGGAAGAAGGAGGAGGTCATATGCTCAGGGGGAAGAAGGAGGAGGTCATATGCTCAGGGGGAAACTATTCAGGATTTGGGAGATTTTGCTTGTAGGAAAGTTTTGTACGTGCCAGACAGAAGAGGACTTGACAAACAGACAGACAGACAAACACACACACCCCTATCCTGTCATAAAATAGCATTGTTGTACGTAACGAAGCTAAAACGGAAAGCTACTGTACGTTGCTTGTAGCGAAGATGATGTCAGAATGTTTCCCATTGTCGTTAATATTCCCAGACTAAACCCAGGGCATGAACGGGAAATTTCCGAGAAACTTCAAAGGAATTCCGGTCCGAAATTCATAAACTAGTGTGTGTGTGTGTGTGTGTGTAAATATATTCACGTACACAAGTGAACTCATGGGGGGTCACTACCAACCGTGACCAGCACCGCCCCCCCGCTCCCTACACTACTTTTTTTTTTTTACGGGATTACCCCACCCGGACACAGGTCACTGACCCACATCAAGGCCTGGGGGCGAAAATTTATTTTAATAATAATAATAATAATAATAATAATAATAATAATAATAATAATAATAATAATAATAATAAGAAGAAGAAGAAGAAGAAGAAGAAGAAGAAGAAGAAGAAGAAGAAGAAGAAGAAGAAGAAGAAAAAAGAAGAAGAAGAAGAAGAAGAAGAAGAAGAAGAAGAAGAAGAAGAAGAAGAAGAAGAAGAAGAAGAAGAAGAAGAAGAAGAAGAAGAAGAAGAAGAAGAAGAAGAAGAAGAAGAAGAAGAAGAAAAGAAGAAGAAGAAGAAGAAGAAGAAGAAGAAGAAGAAGAAGAAGAAGAAGAAGAAGAAGAAGAAGAAGAAGAAGAAGAAGAAGAAGAAGAAGAAGAAGAAGAAGAAGAAGAAGAAGAAGAAGAAGAAGAAGAAGAAGAAGAAGAAGAAGAAGAAGAAGAAGAAGAAGAAGAAGAAGAAGAAGAAGAAGAAGAAGAAGAAGAAGAAGAAGAAGAAGAAGAAGAAGAAAAAAAGAAGAAGAAGAAGAAGAAGAAGAAGAAGAAGAAGAAGAAGAAGAAGAAGAAGAAGAAGAACCATAAAGACATAAAAAAATGATCGAGTGAGAAACAATATATGTACAGTATATTGTGATGTCACTGGTAAGAGAAACAAATGAGACCCTGCAACTGTGTATAAATGAGGCAGAGAGTCAGATTAGCAACCTGGGACTTGGTCACAATTTTTGTGATGCCATATGGCAGCAGGGTCTACCATTAGACAATACATTATGCTTCCAATATTTTCCCAGGCGGTAGTACCTCCCTGTTAGATAGCTACCTATTACCTACTACCTGGCATGGATATTCACTGACTTGTTAGATCAGAAAACCTCCATCAACTTTAAGCCTCTCGTATAGGAAGTCTGGACTACTGTAGACAGGCGTGGGGACGTGCAACACCCCTAGATAACGTAAGTACAACACAGAGGGGCAAACATGATTCCTCAACTATGTCACCCGATTATCAAAGGGATGGAAGATTTAAACATAGATCAAATGTTTTTGGTGATGTTACGCACTACTGACGCCAGGGGATAAGGTGCCAGCAAGAGGACTGTAATGGAATAATTCTTCCCGTGGAGGGCGGTAAATCTATTGAATAGTCTACCAGCACGAACTGTGGAGGCAAAAACACAGCTAGGGTTTAAAAAGAGTCCTTGACAAAACTATCTAGATTCTAATCTAGAACAATGGAGAGATCCTACACAGGTGACAGGACACTGACATCCTTCTTCCGTCTTGTACACCTCTAGGTTGGCTGGCCTGGCACAAGGTCTTGACATTTACATATCTATACTTAATTTGGGTGGCCATTAGGTGAATTAGGTAGGGTTTTTTTTAGATAATTTCAATACATTTTAATTTTTTCGAAACTTGACCTGATGTACGCTAAGTATATTACAGGAGGAAACCGGAGTAACCAGACGAAAACTGCGATCCTTCACACACGTGTCCATGGCCAGGGATTAAACACGGAAAATAAGGCGAGAGACACTCGTGTTACCACCGCTATACCAGTGGTGTTATATATGTATATATAATAATTTATAAGAAGTTATAAAAATTATAACTTCCCCAAAGCGAATGGCTAATAAATCTTATGAAAGAAATGTTTATTACCCCGGGTATGAGACACGAACACGCTTACATTACAGGTTATGCTACAAATAGTACTTACATGTTTTTCTATAACCATGAGTACGTCTATTATTTCATTAGTCACAAATATAAATATATACGTATATGAGTAACGGGTATCCAAGGCGACTTGGTACGTCACTCCCCTTTTAACACTTGTCGTACACTGAGTCTGCCTCGCCTCGGGAGTCTATGCTCTACAACAATTGGGTATTCCCTTCGTATTCCCACACCGGATGAAGATGATTTTATAAATATTCGTTCATGTTAATTGTTCGAGTTGTTTTACACTGTAAAAGAGACTTTGGTATTAAGTTTGCGCAATACCTACCATTATTTCCTAACTGTTCTTGAAATAAATTGTGTGTATCTTTTTTATCTTCTCCTCACGGGCGGACGTACGAGTCATGGTTCACCTGTTGCTTTCCACCCATGGGACACCAAGAGTGTCCGAGACATTACAAGGAGAAGAAATGACAGTCTCATAACAGTTATTAACTTGTACGTGTCATCTAGAGTTGCAGTTTTAAAATGTTTAAGGCGCATCTAAATGCCAGTAGACAAAACTATTTATTCTTGGCACCTGGGCGGGCAGGTGGCCGGACGTACAAGCATAGTGGCATTTCAGACACGACTGGATAAGCTTTGGGCAGATGAAAATGTTAAACACGACTGCAGAGCTTTAAGTATATGTTGAAAACCTACTAGCACTACGCTATTACAGACTAGTATTGGGCAAACGAATAACTTACACATCGGTAGAGTCTTGGCAAGAGCGAGTGTAAAAAAAATATTCGGATGCACTCAGGCAAAGCACAATACGTATTGACCCCTACTAATTTTAATTTTCTTTTCGAGATACAAATATCTACTTAATTTTGTTTCTACATAGTAAAATTATGGATTAATATGAGAAGATTTAAAACACTATTATCCCTATTAATTCATCTTTATTTCTCTGTCATGGACGCATCAACGATTCAGAACTAAATCTACAGTAGTGAACACATATTGCCTCACGCGTGTCTGTCCTCACCAACCTGGTCCCACAAGGTCTAAAGACGTCGTTTTAATAGGAAAGCATTTTAATCGGAAGGATGTGTATGTGGATGGAACGTTGCAACGATCAAATTCAAGGAATAGATTAACATTTTTCTGAAAGGTGGTTATGCTTGCTGTTCTAGTAAAGATTGGCTGTCACAAATAAAACTTACACGGGATCTCATTACCATCAATTGGCAGACACGTTGATCGGCTTGAAAACTGATTCAAATAGACATAAAAGAACATTAAAAAAACGCTAAGTGAAAAAAGCCGACATTATTATCTCAAAGGGCTTTTAATTTTCTTTATGACGTTTTTGTATGATGTGTGTGTGTGTGTGTGTGTGTGTGTGTGTGTGTGTGTGTGTGTGTGTGTGTGTGTGTGTGTGTGTGTGTGTGTGTGTGTGTGTGTGTGTGTGTGTGTTATAGAGAACATCTAGAAATCAGCATACTGTATATGCTCATTTACAGATACATTTATTTTGTTTCAGACTGTCACCCCGTCTGGTCCCCGAGATATGCTAGGGACTGTCAGTTGGTTGAAAATGTTCAAAAGAGGGCCACCAGACTGGTGCCTGCACTTCGGCACCTCAGCTACCCTGAGAGATTGGAGTGCCTGAACTTGCCTAGTTTATACTACAGACGGGCAAGGGGGGACCTAGTTGAGGTGTATAAGCATCTCAGGGGCACTACTCAGTCGAGTGTCCTTACTTGGAGCTGGCGGACGCTCGCCCCACAAGGGGTCACAGCTCAAGATTGAAGAAGCCTCTAGTCCAGAAAACTGTGAGGGCAAACTATTTCGGAGTGAGGGTTGTGAACTCTTGGAACAATCTACCAGAGAGTGTTGTGACGGCACCGAGTGTGAGCTCTTTCAAGACAAGACTGGAGCGGGTTCAGGTACATTCAGGAGCCGGTGCATGCCCAGTACCTGCCAACAGTGCGTGACAGAGACGTGACCGATCGCCCGGGCGGCTAACGAGCCGATCTTTTGGTGAAGAAGATAAATGAAAAGGAAAAGTAATCAGAGACGTGACCGATCGCCCAAGCGGCTAACGAGCCGATCAGTGGCGAAGAGGATAAAAGTATAAAGTTAATTTTGGTTTTCGTGAAATTTTATTTACGTCAAAATTTCATAGACTTCATTCCTGAAGCTTATAGTTTAATAAATAAATTGATAACATTGTAGCTTGTTTAATAATATGTGAAGCATAAAAAATGTTAGAAAAAATTATTATATACTCATTTTTATGGTATCTTTAAATTATATTTTTAGGCTCGTATTCACTGTCAACACACACAATGACCGCGCCAAGTGGAAGGTGAACACCATCTCCTGAGGTAATGTCCTGGGTTCCTGAAGGATATATTATATCTCTGAGTGAGTGGAATACGCAGTATATTCTAAGACTTGGTATACTCAAATATATAGTATAAATGGCCTGTATTTGGTTGTTGGAGGATGGAGTTGGACGAACACACAGAGAACCAGCACTTGAACCCCAGACGTTGTAAATGATTAATAGCAAGTGTGGAGGAAACAAGGTCAAAATAAGTAGCGGGAATGTCAAGAAGAAACACTCCAGGAAAATACAAAGGGGTGCAGGATAACGTACCCAAATATACAAATACAGTATACGCCAAATACAGACTCCTCCATGAATTTGTTTGCAATACACAGGAAGTCAGTTAAGATATTTATTCGTTAGTGCAGAGAGGTGCAATCTAAAATAGTATTAAAATCATGCAGGATCTTAAAAACTGTGCTGTTGTGATTTGTTTTTCTGTTTTCTTGTATAAGTTGTGACTAACCGAATCTCGAGAATTTTATCTGTGCAATCAATTATTCAGACAATTCTAAGACACTTTTATTCTATGACGTTTCCCTTGTAAATGAGTTATATATGCAGGGGGGAGGGTTCAGGGGGTCAGAGGTCCCTGGTTAGGAGGTTAGATTAGGTCATTTGCGAGGGGAAAACGTCATAGAATAAAAGTGTCAGAATTTGGGGAATTATTGATTGCACAGATAAAATTCTCGAGATTCCGTTGGTGGCAACTTATACAAATTTACCCGTTTTTTCTTCATATTGACCCCACAACTCCTCATGAAGTCAATGCTGTCTATCCTCACTTGACTTGCATTGAGCAGATGTAAGCAAATGTTCAGACACTAGTTGGCGCTGAATAGATGCGGGATGAGGACGTACAACTGAAGATTATCTCGACCACAGCGTTGATTATGACACCTGTGCCACGCTTCATGATCATTATTAGTGCATACTGAGTCTTTATATAGCTAGACCAGTGCTCCACAGTCTAAGCCATAGACTTCAGCCAAGTCGCATCCACACTGTCATAAAAGGGCTGTTAGGTTCTCAGAGGTGGCTGCGTGAGTCCTTTGAATGGATAGAACACTTGGAAGGGACGAGTGAATAGGTTACCATACAGCTGATTCCATGACACACACACACTGTCACATCAACATCTGGAGAGCTGACTTGATGACATTGATCACTTATTCACTTCATCATAATCTTCTTTACGTCGTCGCCTCATTGTGACAAAAGCCAGAAGGATTTACTTAGTGCAGTCTTCAGAATGGAGAAATGTGTGTACTGATTGTGAGTGATAAAATGGTTGGTGTACAAATAAGCAGATGTTTCCTCCAAGTGTTCTGTGTGTGGAGAGGACAAGGGTGATTAACTTATTAAAATGTTGGTAAATCCTATAGTGTAACCACCATATAACGGACTTCTCTCTCCATATAATGCATTAGATATGGGGTCCAAACCTAACAGGCCCTTGAGATAATGAACTTTCCTCATCATATAATGCATTAAATAAAGGTATCACTGAACTATATTATTAATATTGTAATTGTTTATTGTGGAATGTAATTATTATTTTTCACGTTAGAGACAATAATTTTATCATGATCATATTCACAAGAATTTTATACAGTTACTGCTGCTGTTGTTTCATAGTGAGTAGGAAATGAAATATCATTATTATTTATTTATATGAAATTTTTAGACTCCTCCTATTTACATAAACAAAGATGGTGTCCTCCTTGTGACGGTGGATGGCAGCAGTGTTTTATATATGGGAAAACTAGCGGTGCAACCTGAGTGCAAAGAGTGCTGTTCCTCTACCTGATTTATTTTATTCCTGAGGTAAAAATTAAGTCTTCTATTGATTATTTTTCATTAGGCAGCTCATTAACCTAGATCCTTGTCCTTAAATATTACCTTTATAGTGATTATTATTAATATTTTTTTATTCAATACAGGTATCCCTCGTTAGATCAAAACTTGATTTAGTGATAGCTTGACTCACTAGGAAGGGAAAAAACTGGGAATGATGTGGCCTGTGAGATGGCATGTTGCCATTGTTACATGTAATGAAAGTATAAATGCTGTGGAAAAACATTGCAATACTCTAATGCGGCTAAGAAATAAAGGAAATATACTATATAAATATACAAATTAAGTAAAATGAAGGGCATGGGTGTGTAAGTGTGTGACGTGAGTGTATCTGGGGAGGCAGTGGGTTGTAACTGCGTCGACGACTCACCACGACGCCATCCAACCACGCTCCCTCTGCGATGTGATATCAGGGCATACACACACACACACATCTCAGAGTCAGTTGAAAATTTCCAGTAGATAAAGTGGACGTACTCTTTTACTTAGAATAGACTACAGTATTAATGATGACCTAAGATAATATATTTTTATGTCTTATTTTAGTTTGAATTTTCTGTAAGACTGATTTTATCACTGACTGCTTTTCAGAAAGCAGATGGTACAAGCCAACTTGCAAGACTTAATTACAGTATGTGATTACTGAGCTACTCTACACTCAGGTGAATCTCTCTGCCACCAGTAAGATGTACAATGCAGGGTATAGTCTGGGAAGGACTGATAATTGATAGGTAATTATATTAGAAGTTTGTTAATAAGATGATGATCAGTGTTTATTTTTTTAGCTACTCATACTGTGAACATATCTTGAAATATAGAAGCTAAGATACATTCCTATGAAAAAAACGCCTGCAAAACATCTTTAAATACTATAAATCATGTTTTTATTGGCAATTTTGGTTTACAATAGGATTACAAGTCACTAATAAACATAATTAGTGAAATGCATGCAGTAAGCGATAATTTTATGCATATGAGAAAAATTTTAGTGCTTGAAATTTAATGGAAAATTACACTACTCTAGAATAATAAATACATCAGCATTCCTACAGTGGATATATCTTAAGTCAGTATCGTGCCTCTGCTTCACATATACAGGTACAAGTATAGTCTTCCTGTGAACCATGATAACTGAAACACTACTTTTATGGTAATTTATTTGTTGGACACTCTTTATACACTGTAATACTCTATGTTAGTTTTAGTTTAATTGTCTTTATAAACTAATCAGGTCTGGTATGGGAAGCCCTGTGTCAGCTGTAAAGAGGACTTTCTATGCTCACTTCAGGTTTTTTTTTAATACTGGCTTGTTTCTTCCATGGCATTCATGATTAGCTTAAACATTACAAGATTTAATTAAAATATAACTTGTATTCAGGAATATCATCGTCTGCAAAACCTCTCTACACAATAATGACTAAATATTTTAGAACTGATAACTGGTGTCAGTTACTGAAATCAGATCCTTTGGTTGTGAAACAATGTTATCTCCTAAATAGGTGGATTAAATAATATCAAACATTAAAATAAATACATTACCTATACTGTAGCTGTGATATATAGTTATTCTGTTTAATTTCAGATTGAACCCGCCAAGAGCTTACCTTGTTTCTTAGTCATGATCTAAGAGACTCTATTGGTGAGGGATCAGCAGCAACCAAAGTAAGAAATATTACCAGCAAGATGAGCGAGATAACAAGATTGGAACGTGAGAAACGTCGTGCAGAAAGCAAGGAGAACCTAAGTGAAGTTGCCATTCTTTCAAACCTTCTTGGTAAGGAGTTACAACAAGCCGGAGATTATGAGGGAGCATTACTTCAGTACAGAGAGGAAAAAGCTTTACATGAGGCTCTAGGCAATACCATTGGAGTAGCAGTGTCTCACCGTTGGCTCGGCGAAGTGTATTGTGAAATGGGACAATGGAATAAAGCTCTCCAACATCAACAACGTCATTTATCACTTGCAAAGGAGGTCGGGAGTTTAGTAGAAGAGCAGCGTGCATATGCCACAATTGGACGCACTCATTTACAGAAAGCCGAGACATGTGGAAATAATGACCAAGAGAAAGAGCAGGCTGCAGCTCTATTAGAGGCCGAGAAAAGTTTCTTGCGATCACTCCTGACGTGTGAGCATCTTAAAGGGAATGTAGATTCCCAGGAGCATAGTCAAATGCGTTGTCGACTTTATTTAAATTTAGGATTGGTTTTAGATAATCGAGGAAATGCCAAGAAAGCAAAAGACTTCATTGGTCAGGCTTTAGAGCTTTGTTCCAGCCATAACCTTGATGAAGATGCCCAGAGGTGTCATTTTGCATTGGGTTCCATCCTCCTCCGAGAAGGTATATTAACAGATGCACTTCATGAAGGGCAAAAGTCTTTGGCTTTGTCAACAAAGATTCGTAATAAAGCTCTTCAGTGTGAGAATTACTCATTCTTAGCACACGTGTATCTTGCTAACCAAGACTATGAATCAGCAAAACGATGTTTTTATAAAGCCTACAAATTAAAACATCCAGACTTGGAAGACAGAAAACGGATTGAAAATAACTTGAAAACTCTGGTAACTATGTGCACAGCTGATGATAGTTTGCTTATTCTTGGAGAAACTGATGGAGATGAAAAATTAAAACTGTATGAGAAACTAGGTGATGGATCAGCACTTCTTGGTCTCTACTCCCAAGCTGTGGAATACTACCAGAAAATGTTGGATTTAGCTGTGAAACTAGGTAAAGACCCTTCATTCCTGGTTCCTATATATTTATCTTTAGGACGAACATATTTTGATAATAAGCAGTACAAAGAAGCTAAAGAGTTCTATTTGAAAGAAAATGATAGCCTGGTTAGTGACAATTATAGTGAAGCTTGCAAATCTCTGATCAATATAGCTGTCACATCTGAGGAACTAGGGGAAAATTTTGAGACAATTAGTGTAACATACCAGCAGGCTAGAGAATTGGCAGTAAAAGCCAACAGTCCCAAACTTGAGACCTATGTTTTGCGTCTACATTCATCGGTCAAGGACCTCCCAGAGTTAGTGAAAGTGAGCCTTATTAAAGATATGAATAGACTTATAGAAGAAAATGATCTTGAACCAGAAGTGGAGTTGAGTGAAGAGGAGACTGAGAGTGAAGATGAAGTTGATCTAGACTTGGTTTGCTTCTCTGACAGTGATGCCGAGCAGGAGAATTTTGATAGGCCACGGCAGTCACGGCAGAAGTCATTTGCTGTTAGGAGAAATGAGAAAGGGGAAACACCATTGCACAAAGCCTGTATAGATGGTAACCTCATTATGGTGAAAAAACTAATAAAACAAGGTCATCCATTGAACCCAAGAGACAATTGTGGTTGGCTTCCTCTTCATGAAGCTGCTAATCATGGTTTCTATGATATTGTTCTTGAACTGATAGAAGCTGGTGCTTGGATCAGTGACCGTGGAGGTAAACAGTGTGATGGCATTACTCCTCTCCATGATGCTGCAGCTTGTGGTAATTTTGAAGTTGTAAGATTATTGATAAGCAAAGGGGCATCAGTCATAGCCAAGACTGATGAAGGTGACACGCCCCTTGAGAGTCTCGTCAAATACAGGATGAGAACAAAATTGTCACAGAGGGAAAAAGAAGAATGTATTCTTTTGGAGACGGAAATTAAGGACCGAAGATGCCTAGCTGGGCATAAAATATCAGAATTGCACGAAGAATCCACCATAACTCAAGATGATAAAAATGAATGCTCTAATTCACAGAGAAAAAAGAATGGTGAGAAGATAGACTCCTCATATTCCAGAAGTAAATTGCAAAGATCTGAATCCTCTTATTCATGTAGATCAAGAGGTTGGGGTGACACCTCTTTAAATAGAAGTGGAAGATTAAGAAGTAGAGGTGTTACTGATATTGAAGAGGAAAGTGAGGATGATGAATTACCAAGTGCATCACTTAATTTAATAGAGGAAATGACTATGCCAATGGATTCCTTAACCAGAGAGGATGATATTGGCAATGGTGAAGATTCTGAGGAATTTTTAAACCCACTGTTAGAAGATTTATACCAGGAAAAGTCGTCTGCCACCAAGACATACCTAAGTGCAATAGGCAGTGTAGGGAGTGCAACACGTAGAGCAGAGCTTCAAAAGAATTCATCAAGTGAAAGGGTGCTAAAAAAAGATAAGAAAGTGGCCCTTGTATTAGAAGAAGATTATGTTGAAGATGATTGGCTTGAAGATGATATTGGCATCTTTACTAAGAAGAGGAAAAGGACAGAAAAATTTGAATTTGATTACAAAGATTCCAAGAAAGAGAAAAGAATTTCCCCTGACACTAATTCTAGAAGGGAGTCTCTTTCTTTCTCCAAAAGGGTACGTCAGACAAAATTAACACCAATAGTCCAAAGGTATTCAAACAGTGCAAATGAGACTAGTATGTTGGATGTACTTGAGGATCAGGCTGAAGTTGGGTTAACTAAAAATGTAAGTACGTCATCAGAGACAAATGTCACTGTAAATTCAAGAAGCAGGAAAGATAATGGGAGTCCAAGTAGCATCATCAGTGGGACTCCAGCTGTAGGAGGTGGTGCACTACGTTTAAGGGTTCGTGTGAAAGACCGTTTGTTGCTGGTGCCTGTGGCAAATGCTGGCCAGGGTCGCACTGTGGGATGGTTGGCAGAGGAGGTTACGCGTAGATATTATCAGCTTGTTGGGTTGCGTCCCCATCTCACTCTGACGACACAGGATGGTGCTGTTCTTGATCCCAGTGATCCCATATCTCTTGTCTTTCCCACAGAACAAGCTGAACTACAGGCTCAAGTTAAAGGGTGGGATCTTCCACCCTTGTCAGACCGCTACACCCAGGCCTGCCAAGCACTTGGTTGTATTCCCATACCATCACTCAGCTCTGTTCTAAATCATACAGAGACTTCAACAACTCTAGATTTGAGTCATGTTAGGAGGTTGACAGTATTGCAGTTGCACCCAGTACTAAGAGCTATTCAGTATCAACAGAATTTACGCTCCCTCAGCATTTGTAATTGCCGACTTGGAGATGATGGTTTCCTTCATTTACTGGAGGCCCTACCCTCTGTGCCTTCATTAGAAATTTTAAATTTAAGAGCTTCAGGTATTACCACGTCAAGTTTCCTTAATTTCACTGAAGCCATCACAACTGATAAACTATCACTAAAAATACTCAGTTCTCTTGATTTCAGTTACAACACCTTTTCTGGAGCTAAAGTGTCAAACATCAGGTCATTGTTCTCTTTACCAGTTCTAACTGCCTTATCATTAAAGAATTGTTGTTTGTCTCTGTCAGGTGAGCAACAATTGCCTTTAATAACCTCTGTGAATCTTAAAAGTTTATCTTTAGATTATAATACAATATGTGGCACTGCTTTAGCCTCCCTGTTGTCCTGTGTAGCTCAAGTCTCAGTATTAACTTTGAGTGGATTAAACTGCAAAACAAATGAGCCATCTGAAGGAAATGCTAGTTTAGGTGCGGCCCTGTCATGCATTCTGGGTGCCGGGGAGGAGTGTCCGTTACAGCATTTAGACTTGAGCTCTTGTAACTTAGTGAATGCTGATCTAGAAGACATTTCATCTTACTTGTACCGATGTCCTTACTTGACCACTATTAATATAGCTCATAATCCTGGCCTTACATCTTTCTCTGTTAGTGCTCTTCTCAATGAGCTCACTACAAACATTATCCTTCCACTTGCAACCCTCAGCCTTCATGGTAATAGATCCGTTGCATTTGATTTGAAAAATAAGATTGTCTCTACACTGAAGCATAAAGCTGCTACAAAATATGCAATAACAAAACTTTCATATTCTTGTGTGGACAATGACACAGATATACAAGACCTCTGGAGATCCCAACATCAACACAGAGCATCTATTTCAAGAATTGGAAGTGAAGTGTTTCTTTCTTACAGTAACTAGTGAACTGAGTGTGTATATTACAATAGAGCAACAGGGAAATATGACCAGTGATATGATTTATAAATATTTCATTGTATAATCTGTTTTAAAATATCACAAATTGCTTCTTCTTTTGTTATTTATACAGGATAAACCTTTGTATTATATAAATACCTATACTGTATTGTACATTAGTATTAAGTCTTTTGTAAATATACAAGTTGGAAAATATTGGTTGTTTTTAATTAACCTGTTATAAGAAAAACAATGTTACTTAATTTTTAATGTATACTGTATTGTATAGAGTCTTACAGTGACAACTATACCACTCAAATTTTACACGAATTGAAATATGGGTACAGTATGTGACAATAAGTGGGTACAGTATGGGAAAATAAGCAGGTACAGTATGGGAAAATAAGCAGGTACAGTATGGGAAAATAAGCAGGTACAGTATGGGACAATAAGCAGGTACAGTATGGGACAATAAGCAGTATGAGGTGTGGAGCAAATTAATTCTGCTGTGGGTTTATTATTATCCAGAGTGTTTTGGACAAGTTTACAACTGCTGTACAGATATATCACGGTTTAGGAAAGTGCTGCATTACTGAAAACCATCTTGTAAATTGAACTTAAGGTATATCTCAGGGGCACTTGCCTATACCTTTTATTTCCCATTAGACCCAGCCCTTGCCAACCATAGAAGAACTATAGAATACTCGTATAACCCCCATGGTTGGTGAGGGATCGTGCCATACACATGTACAGTGCTGTATATCCTTCAGTAGTGTGATGACAGGCTACTCTATCCCAGCAGACAAGACCAGATAATGTTTTAACTACGAGCAATGCTTCCCACTTGGCTAGATTAAGATTTGAACAGCCCGATTTAAACCAGTGGTTGACTTAATGTTCATTGAGGATTCAGGTACACTGGGTCTGAGTTCCTCTACTCGTCTTCATTAACTTTTGCACTGCACACACCTTGTCATCCATAAAAGGAAACCAAATTCAAGATTTATTGACTTTATTTCTTTTGCATGTGTTTAAGTTGGTTCGGCACAATGAGTCCGCCGCCCTTTGGGTATAAGTGATTATCTTAAAAGATATCCAATTTATGACCAGGTATACAATAAACCTACAATAAATAGTGTAGGTATGCAAACAATACTGTATACATAGACAATGTAGGTATGCAAACAATATACATAGTGTAGTATTGCAAAAATATACATATCTCATGCTCAGCTATGTAAATAATGTGCACAGACAATGCTGGTATGCAAACAAAATACCAATATTGGACGTCGAGTAAATTAGGATAGTGTGTCCTTCAACTGTCACGTGAGTATCGTTTTCTCTGTTTACATTTTTACAAAGTCTCCGGGAATTGCACTGTCAGGTTTCAGAATGTCCCTTGTAAATATATATATATACATATATATATATATATATATATATATATATATATATATATATATATATATATATATATATATATATATATATATATATATATATATATATATGTGTGTGTGTGTGTGTGTGTGATGAACTATACACACAAAAAGCATAAGTCAACATTGTAGCTGGTGGAGCGGTCGGTTGTTACACACTGCTGTCAAGTACTGGGCATGTGCTAGTTATGTTAGGATAGGTCACGAAGCATTTCAATCACTGAACATAATTCATCCTCACGAGGCTGAATCATGCTTACAGGATTTTCAGTGAACTGTGCCCAGAGTATCTGCCAACAAGTATTGCCATGTGACAGTGGCTCCACCATACACCAGAGGGCAGTCACATTAGTCCTCGGGAGTTACAACTTCTTATTTAATGTTCCTTGGACAAAACTCACACGCACTCACACATACACACGCAAAAAAAATATATATATATATATATATACTCTAAATCTCATATGATATTTATATAAAAGGTTTTAAGAAATATTTTGTAACAGTAAGAAAAAATGAATCTATATGTTAAGAGGACAAGAGTGATGTATGGTGGGGCAGGGCGCATGCGTGTGGTGGGTCAGTGGACTATTATTAGGTGTCTTTGCGTAGTGTTTTAGTAAGTGGTTGAGTTCTGCATGTGCGTTTAATCCTGGTGTTTTACCTTGAACAACTACAGTTAATTGGTGTTTTGTGTGTTAATAAGAGTGTTAGTGATGGGTGGTATCCTGCATGCCTGGAGGGAGAACTGCCAGTGATCTCTAATGACCATCGTTACCAACAACTTGTATGGACCAAATTTTAGACGTCCACGCTGCAGGAATCTTGCTAGAACACAACTGGCTGTCAAACCACTGCATAGTACACTAAGCGTTATGGTAAATGGTGTATCTTGGGAATGCGACTGATTGTCCTTTTGACTTGTTTTAAGTAATGCACAGTAGGCTGTATATAAATCTAGGATGACTTATATTTTGGTCTAGATAAAGATTCATGGCCAAATTTCAAGGTCAAGAGCTTCTGTATTTAGATGTAGCGAGCTGTGTCAGCCAGTGTAGTCACGACCACACTGTACCATATATGTTGTGGCAGAGAACCATGTATATAATGTCTGGAGCCATTATACTGTGTATTTATTTTATTAACACTGATGTCTAGAAAAGTGGTGTAATACTGGAAGACAGTATAGCACTTTAACCAGAAACATTTTATATATATATATAATTTTTTTTTTAATATCTTACCTCAAGAAAACCCCATAAAGTGATGAGGATTTTAAATTTATATAACATAGTATATTTGTTGCATTTATTTTCTTGATAACTAATTTGATTAATTTATGATAGTAATCAGGTTTCGATTTTTCCATAAAAACTACGTTTTTCCTTTGGCTCTTGTGGTTTAAACGAATCTGACCTTCGTTCTGGTGCTAACTACCTTAATGGAACTTAACCTAACCGAATTGAAACTTGGCTACTATCATTAATTGACCACTAATTTACTTTGACGCACTATGATGCCACATTAGAATTTTACTTCCAGAGGTTACATTTCATCCACAGGAATGCTTACAAAACTTACCAATGACAGCTACATTATAATATAATATATTGGATATGAGGTGAAAGTTGAACCAACCCAACTTACGGTACCTAAACTAAGTAACATAACCTATCATGGATTACATTACGTTACGTTAGTTAGGTTGATTTGGTTCATTTGTACTATGAAGCTTGGCTTATAATTCAACTACTGTACTGTACCCTTATACAACTATGGTCGTCATATTATGATATACAGTACACAACTGTGAACAACTTATATCGTGAAAAATTGTTCACGTTTTCTGCCCGTTGAAACGTCATGTGGGCTGACCCCACACCCACAATGCACTGTGAGCTAAGCAGACACTCTGAGATGCTGTGTTAGGTAGCTGCAGTACTGTATTTAGAATACATTCGTATGCAAAAGTTTGCGTTCCCCTATTCATCAATCGCGTTACAACCAATTCGCGTTGACAAAACACGCGTTGTAGCAGAAATGACTATTAAAATACCCTGTAGTACAGTACAGTATACATTCGCCTTCTTTTAGTCAGGTGAAGTGGGATTCACATAATTTGTGCCTAGGTCAAGCATGGTGTGCTCCTGGGGCCCACTTGGCAACCATGCTGAAATATTAACACGGTAACAGTACTGTACTGTATATGAATCCAGACCATTTGCAAGAAATATACCATTACAGTTGCTGGTACTTGACCGGGTACAAAAAAAACATGTACTGTACCCTGTAAGTTGAGGTCTTGGAATGTTTACAGTGTCTACGGTATATGTTCTACATTATACTTACCTGTGTCTCTTTAAGTGTAATGTGGCCAGCCATACCGGTACCAATTTATTCTTGGTGTCACCCGAGTAATTCTAGTGATCAAATGGTGAATGCGATGAAAACTTTCAGATTCTACTTTATTTAAAGCCATTAAGAATTATCTTGATACCCATACCTCTTATCTACATGGAAAGGTCATACAGTAGCTACATCAAGCCAGGAATGTTATCTTCAGCCTTGAACAAGGCATTATCTCTCGCTGGTTGTATGTACTGTACTGTATAAGTGTACCTCATATCAAGTGCCCCTATCAGTTTGCCCAGTGCCAAGATCAGTGGACAGGTACAGTAACTGTCTTGCTTCAAAGTGAAGTAAAGTGCATTACCTGCTACTACTCTGTTGTATCATCTGTGTTGTAATTTTAAATATTTGTTTAAGTAAGAAATTTACTTGGTCTCATACAGCACAATAACCCATTGTGAATGTCTATCTCTTGATACAGTGTAGTGTACTCCAGCCCTGGAGTGGGGTATTGTGTCTTTAAAAATAATTTTGTTCATTGGTTTAGAGAATGGGCGAAGAAATATTGGAATGATTAGTGAAAACCATAAGATTTCTACCCAAAAGAATTTTAATATATACAGTAACTACCCTGTTCTGTACAATTTTTATTGTGTTGCAGAAATATATTTTTTATGAAACATTTTAATTCAAATTTGGAATTTTCTTTTTCAACATCTTTTCATAGTAACTTAAAAAATTGGCTTGAAGACATTAGAATTTTACACAACAACAAATTTTGAATCGATCAAGACAACCAGTTTGTGGCTTCTTCTGTCATCATAATGGCAAACCCCGCAAGGCCAACAATAACCAAGGATCTTCTGATGGCCATACAACAGACACAGCCAGACATCAAGACATTATCTGGCTATGAAGAAAAATTCTCATTTGGTTTTGGGGTGAGCATGAATGAGTGTTACCCAGGACTCTACATAGGTGACCTGTAAGTAAAAGTTGACACCTGTTAGATCACTGTGTACAAGGGTCAAAATACTGTGACTGGTTTGTAACTTGTCTCTTGGCAAGTGATTATTACTACAATTTGGTTACCCAAAGCATTTTTTTTTTTTTTTTAAATTTTCCCCAAAATACAGACACAAACTTAAACAGATTATATATTATTGAACAAGACTTCATTGAAGGAACTAGTTGTGTAGTTATTTTTAATCTGCATTAACAACACACACTAGTAAAGAAAACACAGATGTCTACATGCCTTGTAAGACACCACCATTGACTTCATATTTACAACATTCCTCAACAGATGAACTTAGAATTAGATGATGAACCTTACAAGGGGGTTAATATATAATAATACACTCTTGTACGTATTTCACATAATTTTTCATAATGATGATACTGTACAGTATTTCATATTATGTACTGTACTGTAATTTGCAAAACATTTAAGCAGACTGAAGATTATCTTATTGCAAAACGTTTTGGTAGCATCATTTCCAAAGTACTGTACCTGTACAGTACAATACACATGTGGGAATTCCTGAACAAAGACAAATTATTAAAACACGGTATTACACTACAGGTACTTGTCATCACTAATAGAGATGAAATAGCCTACCAGTAAATACCAGTGAACTTAGAAAATTACTGGTAAATAGTTTTATTGCAGTTTACATTCGTAGCTCTACAATACCATACTAACAGTAGCAATTTGTAGGAAATTTACTTCCTCTGGCATGCTGTATAGGTGACGACGCAATTTGGCCTAAACTACTGTATATCCATTCTACATGCTCATAAGCAAGTGGACTACCGTAGCTGTCCTTTATTTTGACCCCAGTAACAGTAAAATTGTAGATAGTTTTTTTAGGAGAATAATAATTTTATTTTCAATTTATACTAAATATATTCACAAACTGTTATATAAAACTAGCCAGTTTGATGTTCCGTACTGTATGTATGTATCTGTTGAGTCATGAAATATGAGCTATTGAAAACTTAGACTTATAAGTTCTAGTATATTGTGTACAGTAGTTTGTTTCTGGTAATATAAAACATTTTTTATTCATACTGCAAAGTTTAAGCTTTCCTAATTTGTATTAATTCTTTGTTAAACTGTAGTATGGTAACTAATCCTGGTCAGTATTTTATCGTACAGTACAGGTACTGTATTGTATAACATTCTAAAAATTTGCCCATTTCATCATACAATACAGGCAATTATACTGTTAATAATAAATAAAAAATAGGCCTGTCTGCTGGCCACAAGCTTCAAAAACACCTACTGTACTGTTCTCCTACAACTCTTCTCAGTGGTTAAGTATTCAGACTCACAAACTACTGTACAATGTTAATATCTAAGTACTATTTGACCTCATCCAGGTAGGTTTTGTTTAGTGCTGTACTTATGCTGATGTAATTTAAATGCGACCTTTTTCAGTGGTGCAGCTAAGAATAAGGACTACCTGAAGAAGAATGGCATAACCCATGTGTTAAATTCTGCTCAGGGTACCAAGTTTGCCACTGTGGATACTAATGCTGAGTTTTATAAGGATGTTGGTATCAAGTACATAGGCATGAAGCTCCTTGATGTCCCAACTGCCAATATAACCCAGTTTTTTGAGGCTGGGACACAGTTTATAGATGATGCTCTGTCAAGTGGAGGTAAGCAATACTTTGCAGTACAGTATAATCCTTTAGTCGTAGACTACTGTTATAAGATAGTTACATGTGGATCATTGAAAGAATCTCTGGAAAGACTGATACTGCACAATACAATATATGTAAACCTACCATATCTTTGTTGTCCACCATGTCATGTTTGATCACTGCCGTGACACTACAGAGTAGCTTATGTTTCCAATGCATAGCTGGTTTCCTCACTAATGAAAAAAAAAGGTTTCTAAAGGAAATATGTTTCTCTTTTTTCTTCTTTATTTGAGGCATCATCTGACGCAGGAGTGTAAATGCCAATTTGATGTTTTGAGAAAAAGGCAATTAAAGATTATTGGTATGACCTCCAGTGTAGAAGGGCATCAAGCGTTCTACCTTGTGGAGATAAGCATTTTGCAGATTATAATCGCCGAGTTTCCAAAAATCATCAGACACCATTTTGATGTCTGCTTCTCTGATCTTCTCATTACATATTGTTCTCTCCTAATAAGACTTAATTTTTTTACATTTATTAAGACATTTTATAGCTATAATAGATGTCAGGGAAAAGGTCTGCTAGTGTTGTTGATCTGTGTGTTATCATTGTTTAAGCATTTATATTGTAACGTACTGTTATTTTGGTATTACATTAATTATCATTGGTAAAAGAAAAACTGTTGATAAGGACAAATTTTAGGCTTTAGAAGTTTAGTGTATATCACCCAAATGAAGCATTCATATGTTAGTCATAGGTAAGTGTAGCAACTAAATACAGCTCCTCCCCGACTTACAACCTACTCGACTTACGGCCACCCGCACTTACGACCTTCCTCGGTCGTACCAAAATTTTGTCAAATTACGTATTTTCGGGTCCCAACGTCAGTACACAGACAAAATTTTCGTTTGTAATTAACTTTAAAATGGCTGGCGAGCTTAAAATTGAGAGTTTTGTGGTGCTGAGAAGAAAAAGAGACGCCCATTTCGACTTACGACCTGGATTTGGGTCCTTAACCCCGTCGTAAGTCGGGGAGGAGCTGTGGTAGTATAATGACCACTTTTAATGCTGAAGTCACTAGCTATGCTCTTCTCAGTAATGTATCTATCATGAGTGCTACCCCGGTACTCATATATGCTAGTTTAGTCACTGTGATTACACCCAATGTGGTGGACAACATGGACACAGTTACTTAACCAATGGAAAAAAGCATTCACTTGCTCTTACATTAATCATAAAATGGAGTTTCATGATTAATCCTTCACTTATACTGTACTGTACTGACAGTTTTAAGAAAAAATGTGTCATATTAGAGTTTAGATCTTTCTACTCTATATCAAAGTTCTAATAATTTATATATTGTATATAGGGAGTCCAAGTTATGAACGGGTTGCACTCCTGAACCCTGTCCATAAGTCTGATCAGTGTTAATTCCATAGGTTAGGTTAGGTGAGTTAGGTTAAAACACAACCCTGGCCATACAAAACAGTAATAATATCACACACTTAACAAATAATGTAAATATTACTGAACTGTTCTGCAAATAATGTTATCTTAAACAGTGTACAGTAAAGTACTGTAATGAAAAAAATAAAATTTTGATTTCAGATTATATGATGAATATATTGGGATCCCATTCATAAATACTGGTGTTCATAAGTCAGGCGTTCGTAACTCAGGACTGCTTGTATACAATACACATACTGTAAAACTAAAAAGTACCATAATAAAATTTATCATGGTATTTCTCTTGTCTTTTCAGGGAAAGTGTTGGTTCACTGCTTTATGGGTATTTCACGTTCTGCCACAATATCTGCAGCATACCTAATGCTGAATAAAAATATGACTGCTGTTGAAGCAATAAAGACCCTGCGTAAGAACAGGGCTATATACCCAAATGATGGGTTCCTCAGTCAGTTGGCAGACCTTGATAACAAGCTGCGTAAAGAACGAGGAGAGCTTTAGTGAACTAGAGCAGTTCACGTTTCTTGTAAAAAATATGGAAATAGCTTTAGAATACAGAATTTATTTACAAGGTGTCTTTTTTTTTTTATAAACCCTTGAGGTATTTACTTTTCAGGAAATATTTTTGTTTACCTTTTGCATGTTCACAAAAAAGCTTTTATCAACTGGTTCACACAACCATTATACTCATTCATTGTGTGTCTGGTTCTATGATGTATGTTGACTGGTTAACCCTTTATCTGCAGTTGGTAAATACTGTATAGGGTCTCTTTTATATTTTTTTTTTCCACTGCTGTTGGTACTATACACATAGGGTTTCCTGCATGAGACATTTATCGAAGTATTTATGGCAAGTGTTCAACTTTGACAATTTACTATGTGTAGCCATATATTGGTTACTTACATTCTTTACTATGAGGCACTACTGTACCTCTCAAGTTGACAGGGCAGCCTGTATGACAACAACCCACTGCCAGTGGAAAATAATTGAGGTTATTTTGATTTTTTTGGGATATTATCCAGATTATTTTGAGTTATTGGACAGTGTCAACTCGGATACACTTTTGACATCACCAGTGATGTATATTACTCTGCTGGTACAGTATAACAGAAGCAAAAAGAACTCCATTAAAATTGGGAAACACCGTAGTACAGTACAGTATACCTCCTACATCTCACAATGTTGCCCTGTTGCAGAGATGACGCTTTTAGCAACCTTATGGATGGCTGTTTAGAGATGAGTTATATAGCACATTTCTGTAATCAGAGATAAGTAATCTATGCACTGCCAGTAAAAATATGAGAAATTTATTTATACACACACACAATTACCCAATAATCCTCTATTCAGGAGGTGGGTGCTGGGTCCTACGCCAGCTGCAATGAAAGGGTTAGAGGAAGATCAGTCTTATTATAATAGTATGACAATGTTGGTTACTTTACTGTACAAGTGAATCGGTGTTAGGATGTGTTGATGTTTTGAATATTTCTACAGTGAAATTTTTAGTTTTTAACAATTTCATAAAAAATTTACACATAATACTGTATGTAGTCTTTTTGAATCCTGCAGTGTGAAGATTTAGGTCTTTAACAAATTAACACAGTACAGTATATGTTAAAGAAAAACATTTATATTGTTTGTTGAAAATAAACAAACATATGATCATTTTGTCAGGTTATAAATGATAAAATAATTTACATTGTAAAAGGTGGTTTTTCTATTGTGAACTTAATCCTTTGTATCCATACACCAAATACTCTCTGCTTTTCAGGGACTGTTTTGATATTACCTTCTGAGTTTTATTACACCCTAGCATGCAAGGTGTAGGCTGATCTATTATATAAGTGCAGCTGGTCACAAGGATTTATGTTCTACATCCATGGGACTATGTCTGTAACAAATTATACGGAAAGGTTCATTAATGACAGTACCGTACAGTATGGTTGTGCATGATGTACCCTGTTTTAAAAGTTGGACAAGACTTATAAGGTATGGAGTACATACAACATGTTTTCCCTTTACTTATGAAAATTTAAATTAGTGAAGGTAATTGGGAGCTGGTGTGTTATTTGTGCATGTTGTGACTTCTTACAGTTTTTCCATTGTGAGTTAATAAATGGCTGTATTGGTGTTGCCAGGTTCCTTCGAGCTCCACCAAGCCCAAACCCGTTTGGGTCACAAGCCTGTGATATTTCCCAGGTTTTAGTAGTTTACCTACATAAAAAAAATACACAAGTATATGTTTTGCATTACTAATCAGCCCATGACTAGAAATGAACACCACTTTATAGCACTGCCTTATGAAACAATTAGATTGAACAGTATATGGTTGTTACTTTTTGCATGTTTGATATTACATGTTATATATTGAGAGTTTACCATTATATTTATTTTATAAGTACTGTACTCGTTATGGTGATACAATCTAGTGTAACAAAAAAAATTGGTTCAAGAGTCCCAAATTTTTTATCAGAGGTGAACATATTTTTTAATGAAGAGATAATATTCTTGGTATTCCATTTACTGTTGTTATGTTATGTTTATAATGCTGCCTGAAATGATTCTCTTGGTACCTCAACCAACACTCTTGCTGGCATCAACCAAAATTCTCACCCAACTTGATTTAGAACAAACATTAAACCCTCTTCCAACATGTATGTGCTAAGCATGAGTCTGGTCCCATCATGCATTCTTCCAACAAATTGCTCAACAAATAGGGTACACCGCTTAATGTGAGGCAGATCTATCTGAAACTAGAATAAAACGTAACTGCATTAGCACTCAGGTGTTTATGATGTGATATACAACCCACATACTTTGAGTGCTATCCTATTCAAACTCTTATCTAAGTATAAGTTGTAGTTGGTGTGAATTTGGAGAATACAGCTTCAATACATAAAATATACAGTACTGCAGCTTGCTTCTGTCCTTTTAGTATTATGTGTTTGAGTACCCAAGGTCATGCATTATATGGACGTGTTAAGAATACTAAATTAGATGTGTATGAAGCATCACTAAATATCATCCATGTTACAAACACCGTCAGCCTAAGTAAAAGGAGGTTATCATCACTCATTTAAATCTTGAAGCAAAAAATTAATGTACAGTATGATTTTTGTGTTAGGATGTATTCCCTATATATATATACAGTATATATATATATATATATATATATATATATATATATATATATATATATATATATATATATATATATATATATATATATATATATATATATATATATATATATATATATATATATATATATATATATATATATATATATATATATATATTTCAAAGTTGATAAAAGTTACAAATCATGTACCTGTAAATCTATCTTTAAGGTCAAACAAAAGGGTGGCTTCTGAAGTCGTACTGTTGTGTGATGGATACCAGTCTGTGAACCAGATACCTTCTGATTGTTCATGTCATTTCCTGGTTAAATAACACTGAGTATCTTTATAAAATATCATTAATTTTTCATCTGGAATATGAGGGAGATGTAGAATGTGGCTCAGTTGGATGGATTCTTAGTACAATAGTCTGTCAGGAGTTTATTGCTATATTGTCTGAGTAATATAGACCTCATTTGTTATCTTAATTTGGCAGTTACAATATGTATACTAACTGCATTTTGGACTGAGAACAGGTAACTGTTTTGCTTGCCATTCTACTGGTAACAACTCTAGGCCTTTGGGCCCTGACTTATAAATGTGATCTTAAAGTCAAACAGATTGAAGATTACATTATCATACACTTTCATAACAGACCCCCAGAGGATAACCAGTTTGTGAAAACATAAACAGAAAAGGGAGAAAACTTTTGAGTTTTGCTGCCAAACATGAATAGATGCTTCTGATACATACTAATATATATTTTTTATACATACAGTACTACAAAACACCTCTTATAGACAACCCCCTAAGATCCCAGTCATACCTTAGTGTTAAAGTACAGTAGTGCCTGCGGTGGCTTTACATACAACGTGGGTTACCAAATCTGCACATGATATGCCTTGTAATGACCAATTTAGGTCATTACAATAAAACTACAGGATGTCCTTATTCCCCGAATGCCTGATATACCCCTCGGCACTAAAATTTTTGTTTTCACAGAGCCTGCTCGAAGGCTCACTGCCAGGTTGAGGTAGATGGTTCACACTACCATGCCATGAATGAAGATTAACAGATGTGGGATCCTTGTTTTTTCCATAGGGTTAGGGGGTGCTACCACTTTAGATATTGGTGTCTCATGCTTTGGAAATTTATTAAATGTTTTTATTTACAAGGATTTTGTGGATTTAGCCAGGAGGGGCTCTGGCATTTTGAAACTAGGTTTAGTTAGAAAGATAACCCCTCCATGCTGGAACTTGAGCTTTCCCCCCCCACACTCAGTATCATTTTTTTCACATTTGTATAAGTTAACTGTGGTTACTTAATTATATGGTTTTCCAGTAGATATTGGGTTATAATTGGAAGATCATTCTGAAATTCCATTTTATATCCAAGTTCCCCTCTCATCTTTTGGGGGGTGCTGAGATGAACATGATGTGGTGGAGAGGGACTCCTGCTGTGACTCTTTATAGCCAGTTTTGGTAAACAAATTGGGTTGCCTTTGTTTATGCTTTGCTGCAAAACTCATAAGCCCTCTCCATTTTGTAAGGGCACTTATTGCCAAGTGGCTATGCTTTGGGAGCCCAGTATGATGATGAAAGATACATAATCTGTTTTCTCTCATATTATCTCTTTCATTAACTCTCTCATTCTTTGAGGGCTCTGAGGACCAGAGTAAAGGTGACCCTTCGACCTTCTGGCTACAGTATCTGGAACTGTTCAAAATCGGCTACAGTATTGTAAAATGGAATTTTGGGATAAATATTTTGTTTCTAAAATTACAGCAAATATTTTCCAAATACAGTACAGTACTGCATACAGTATAATATTTATCATTAGCTTGTAAATCTTGATACTGTTTAAGTAATATTTTCTGTGTTTTCAATGAATATTTTTCTTGTCATTTTAACTTTCCTTTATCAAGATTTAATATATAGTACAGTATATCATTCCCATATATTTTTTTGGATGTTAAAAAAAAATTACACAGTAAACCTTCAATTTATACAGGGTTATGTTTTGGAAAAATCTTGCATACGGTATACCAGATTCGTGCAAATCAAACATATTGTCGGAAATGGAGAGGGTTTCCCTAGATCTCAATGCCCCTAGTAAAAAAGAAATGTCATAATTTTATGCATAGAAAGGCCTGTAATTACTTTTTAAAGGTCTTGAGTGATAAATTAATATTATTTAGCCCCACACAATGCAGTGCACAATAAGCACAGTTATGTTATGTGGATAATGAATAGCTATAGATATTACTGAGCTTCCTTAGTCCATCATGTGAAATGGTGATTCATTAGTCCCAAGCTTTTGTATAGACTAATCTCTTCTTGGCACTTGAATTAGATGCAATTAACTGAACGGGGGAAATTTTTACCCTGGTTTGAACCCACGGTCTCCATAGTTGAGGTACACACACACACACACTCAGGGATGCTGGGATACACTACTGATGTAACACACCAAGGGGGGTTATAGTTTACAGACACACAGCAGAAACTGATTAGTCATTGATTTTCTGTCAATTTTCTGTATATTTAAATGTGTTAATATTTTTGTATACAGTAAACCCTTGTTATTCGCGGGACTTAGGTTCCAAGGAATGGTGTGAATAGGCATAACCGCGAATAGCAACTTATACTACCTTAGTGCACTACTGTA